CATATACCATTTCCCATCAACAGGGTTTCTACAGTAACCTGAACACAATTAAACACAACTTTAGTGTCATCAAACATATACCATTTCCCATCAACAGGGTTTCTACAGTAACCTGAACACAATTAAACACAACTTTAGTGTCATCAAACATATACCCCCTGTTGATGGGAAATTTTCTACAGTAATCTAAACACAATTAAACAGGAGTAATTTTTCCTCTGCAGGATTTTTATAGGAAAGCTATGATACAGATATGAACTCTAAGAAAAGCTATTTCTTATAAATAGTTTCTACAGTAAGTATACATACACATATTTATACAATCAAATAAAAACCCCTGTACACATATAAATATTTACACAACCAAACAAGAACCCCTGTACACATATAAGTATTCACACAATCAAATAAGAACCCCTGTACACATATAAATATTTACACAACAAACAAGAACCCCTGTACACATAAAAGTATTTACACAACCAAACAAGAACCCCTGTACACATATAAATATTTACACAAACAAATAAAAACCTCTGTACACATATAAATATTCACACAATCATATGAGAACCTCTGTACACATAAATATTTACACAATCAAATAAGAACCTCTGAACACATAAATATTTACACAATCAAACAAGAACCCCTGTACACATATAAATATTCACACAATCAAATAAGAACCCCTGTACACATATAAATATTTACACAATTAAAAAGAAACTACTTTTCTCTACACAACATTTTTTTCTAGGAAAGCTTGGACATAAATATGGACTCCATCAAGCATTACATCTCATCAACAATTTGTATAGTAGTCTGTGCATGCACAAAAATGTACACAATCAAACAGGAAACATTTTTCTCTACAAGTTATTTTTTTAAAGCTTTTATGGGGTTGTACAATTGAACAAAATCTACTTCTCATTACAAACTTGCATAGATACACACACACACACACATATCAAAAACGTGTTGTTGTGTATTTATCTTTAGGAATTTTTTACACTAACTGTAAACAATGGTGCATGTCATCAAATAGAAATGTACGGATATAAAAACAGAATATTCAATATAATAACACATTTACATTTAAACAATTTTTATGCAAAGAACTGACTATGGTACAACTACTACCTGTAAGTATAAATATTTCAATTTACTTTTTGATATTTATAACAGGATGAATCACTGAAACTTTTACATTTTGTACTTTATTTTCATGGCATATATTACTATCTTATGCAAGTGAATGAATATGTAAAATACTAAAATGGTAAATACAATATCCTAACTTCTCAGCATACAGCTGTGCTTTCTGTTTGTATTAAATAATGTATCAACTGCAAAATTAAGAGGGAAAGAAAACAAAGGTATAACTGCAAATCAAGGTTCATACACTCATTAGTTACGGGCTTGATCCTTATTCAACAGCAAGAATGCAAATAAACTTAGTAGTGTCTTTTAATTGGAGGGTTACAAATAAACTCAGTACTGCCTTTTAATCAGAGGGTTAAAAATAAACTTAGTACATTACAAGTAAACTCAATAGTGTCTTTTAATTGGAGGGTTACAAATAAACTCAGTACTACCTTTTAATCAGAGGGTTAAAAATAAACTTAGTAGATTACAAATAAACTCAATAGTGTCTTTTAATTGGAGGGTTACAAATAAACTCAGTACTACCTATTAATCAGAGGGTTAAAAATAAACTTAGTAGATTACAAATAAACTCAATAGTGTCTTTTAATTGGAGGGTTACAAATAAACTCAGTACTGCCTTTTAATCAGAGGGGTAAAAATAAACTTAGTAGATTACAAACAAACTCAATAATGTCTTTTAATTGAAGCACTACAAATAAACCCAGTAGTATTTTATAACTGGATGAGTTCAAATAAACGTAGTAGTATCTTTTAATTAGATGCAAAATTACAAAACCCTGTAAGGTAAGCACTTTTGAAAAGAGACATTTCTCAATTTGAGGCAAACTGGGAATGCCTAAGCGAATTATTTAGTCATTTCCAATTTGCCCCTGATGAAGAAAAGTCAATCTTTTGATAGCATCAAGTTACAAGTTATAGGGTTTTGCATTTTTGTATTTAATTGATTTTTGAACTTCTGTGTTTTCCTTATACCATATTTTAATTAGCGGAGTAGAAATAAACCCAGTAGTAATTATATAAACCTCCCTCCCTTAATGGGAACTTAAAGTTATTTAATAATTGAAGATAATTATGTATACCTATTTTAAATAACTGTTAAAGTCACATGTAACAAACCAAGAAACAGTGAACATTTGAAAGATACAAACTAAACCTGAACAACTTCAAAAAATTTATTCATTATCCTCAATTTCCTATCCACCTAGGCAGTGCTCAGTGACCTCAAGAGAAAGCACAAAACAAGAAAAATGTCTCCAAAACTTTCAGTGAGAGTCTTCTTAATTATACTTTTATAAAGAAAAATGTCAAAATATTCCAAATTACATTATATTTGCTTAAAACAAAGTTAATAATTAAACAACTCTTATTCTTCTTGATGGTTTACATGCAGTTTATGTATTCTTAAAATTGATAATTACTGAAGTTTCATTAACTCTCTCAATTTGACTGACCACATGACCTTATTGTACTCATTTAAAGTTTTTATAGATTTAATACTTCTAACTATCACTATGGTGTGTATATCTTCACAAAATTTGGCAGTCTTTCAGTTAATATTACAAGTATTTCACATACAAAAATCATATTTTTTTAGTGAAGTATTTTTAATAAAATAAAATAAATATTTGTCTATTAATTCAGTATTTGTTTTGAATAGTCCGTCTGCAAAGTTAAAATTAAAAATACTTTTCCTCATCTCAAAAACGTCAAATTTCTTTTGCGTAACACCTCCTAAATGCATTTCAAACGTTTTTTTTTTCAATAAAACTTTATAGTTTATCTGTTATTTTCTCTACTCTATCTCAAAACGGGATCGGTCAATTTGACCAACCTCATAACCACCAAAAAAAAAAAATCTAAACTACCCTTTTTTCTTTCTCGAATGACTTCAAATTGTAACATGAAACTACATTCGTTTATCCTAAGTAGCTCTAAGTTCATAATAGTATACATCTATTTATAATTAAATTTTATTGTTTTATTGCCCTTTGTACTATGTCTAACTTCTATCCGCACCATTATAAGTTGTAAATCACTGTGGGAACGTGCAGCTCACATTACGCTATTGAATTACATTATCCAAGAGCTGCTCAAGTGCGTGCCTCGTGAACCATTTTAATTATATTATTATTATTACTTATTTTACCTAATCTCATCTTAAATAACTTTAAAAGATCCATATTTTTAGATTTCAGTTACTCTTATAATAATAAATATGAAAACCAATAAATAAAGTACTTACCCAATTTTCTTTTTCTTGCTCTCGATTGTCAAGGACAGTTAAGCCTAATTTTTTATAGTATTTATAGTAATGCCCTTA